GTGTCCCACCCGTCCCGGCAATTGGCCCGCGAGTTTGAGACCCCTGCTCTAAGGTGAGGAGAAACACATCCAGAACAACTGGTCAGAAATTCTGTAAATATCCACCTCTGTGACCCACAGTGCTCGCAGGAGAAAGCAACTATTTTAAGACCAGGATATATTCTAATACCAAAAAGATTTTGCAAGGATTTTCTACAAATAGATGGCTGCTTCCAGTATGTCACTTTAGTCCTATATGAAGAACCTCAACTCCTGTAACTCACAAAAAAGAGAATTACATCAATAGAAAGTACCATAATAAATGACTAAACTGGCACTTCTTTGACCATTTCATGGGTATTTGCAAATCAAAAAAGTCAAAGTATTTGAGAAATAAAGAATATATATTTCAATAAGCTAATTCTAAAGCAACACTTTACCAAAGAAGGGATTATTGGCTACATAGTTTTCATTATAATATAATCTAAGAAATTACAAAGAATTAGTTCTGTGCAGCTTTACACTTATTATCATTATAAAGAAGCCATTGAAGTACAACTACCTTAGAGTCTTATATATGAGTGTGTTATGTGGAAGCATAAACACAAATGTGTTGGTTTGTATGCCATCACACAGTTTCATCATTAGAACATTTTTTTTGTTGCATTCTCCCAAGTCGAACAGTAATGCTGACCTTGATAACAGCAAGACTAAAGTGTCGAATAGAATTCCTGTCAATGATGGCATACTAACAGTACAGTAATGGTAAAGTAATGATACTGGGGACATGCTATTGCATCCCTGCTCAAACTGATTATTCTGATCTTGTAGTTGGAACATCTGCTTTGCCCCCTCTATAGCTTTTTTTAAAACCACAGGTGGGAGTTTGCGCATTCCCTGAACTATCTGTTCCATGTACTTATTCCCTGTACTGCCAATCTGGAACCTAACCATGGAGGAGACATCAGGGCCTTTGGTTCCATTATTTTATCTTAGCTCTGGCTCTACTAAAACATAGGTCTGCTTTGTCTGGAATTTGGCTTTGGAATTAACTTCTAAACTTTGGAGCATTACTTTAGCTCATATCCCTAAACAAAGCCTGTACAAAGGGATAGGCTCCACTTGACCCAAAATGGAACCAGGCTACTGGCATTTATCAAAATGGTGGAAGAGCATCTTTTTAACAAACTCTGGAAAATGCTGACAGAAGTTGGGAAGGTTCTGGTTCAGAATGCTTCATCCTTACCAAGTCAGGCAAATGCCACCTGGTATCCCCACTGCTAACACTAAACTGAGATTGGAGATAAATAGTGTGGTTCCACTGCTGCCACATGCCTTCCAGGAGGCAGGACATGGGATCAAAGTCCTGTCCCCTGAACGAATCCCAGGCCACTGTTCATGGACCAGAGATTTTGTATTTGTGCTCTACAGAACAGCTTACTGAGGATGGTCCTACTCCATACATCAGAACTGAAGTGGGTGACAGTAAGTAAATCAGTAGTGGAGACATGCTCCTGTAAACCGCTCCCTCATCCCTGCTGCAGCAAAACATTCAGGTTGAACTTGAAATGCAGAATGAAATCAGGAAGTCATCCAAACAAGGAAATGTTGAGGAAACAGGGAACTTCAATTACTCTCAGATATGTTGGATAAAAACACGTTCCCCTCACAACACAGAGGTAAAATTTCTAGGTGCTCTAAATCACGGTGCTCAAGAACAGTTAATCACAAAACTGGTAAGAGGTCAAGCAGAACGTGAACTTAATTCTAAGTGGTGCCCAGGATTTAATGCAAGATATAATTATACAGGGAGGATAAAAATCAATGACTTTTTAAAAAAATAAAAAATAGATTTCTAAAAATTTAAATCAGATTTTTCTGATTTAAATTGAATTTTTTTAAAAAGTAAATGCTTTTTGAGAAAAAATTTATCTAAAGAAAGTTTTCTATTTATGATACATTATAGTCCAAAGGTTATTTATGATGACATAAGGATTAGCTTTTAATTATGCAGCTTGAGGCTGTATATTTATGCACTGTTCTAATATTTAGTAAAAGAATTCCATTCATTCACAGTGTCATGTTCTTCCAGAGGTTTCTGTAAGATTATTGAACATTTTTCAATCTAGAAGATATTATCACAGATGCTTGGTTTTACAGTTCTCAAAACTGATGTCTGCAGAGATCACATGGCTCTTCTTCACAGCAAAAATGTTATAAATTAAAAATACAGAGTTGAGAAAAAGACCTTAATTCCATTGTTCCTTTTCAAATCTATGTACACAGAATCAACCTCTTAAGTGCCAAGTATCAAAAATTCAATGAATTTTCCCCACTGTCTCACAGAAACATCACAATGCTTTCAATTTATGGATAAAAGTTACAAAAATATGAAGCACTTCATTTTTCAAAAATATGAAGCATTTTTCATTTCTCTCCTCCCCCCCTTTTAAAACATCCTGAAGCTATGCTAACCTTTGATGATAAATTCATTACTATACAATTAACTATATAATTGTTAACTATTATATAATTGTAAATTTGTTACAAACAAAAATAGAAGCTATTCATAATGCTCACTAACCTTAGATGGGTTGAATGGCATTCCTAGGTATGAGGAACCACGGAATCCACACCGATGCATGTTTGATCCTTGGGAGAGAGAAAAAAAACTAGTTTATTTTTCACATTCATTAGAATGCATACACCACAAAATTACAAACACTTGGCATTAAACAATTTGAATGAAATTTAGGCCTACTTAATCCAGCCTACTATTAAATGCCAGATCATGTTATCTGTCCTACTCTACAATCCTATTCTGTAACTCATGTAGGAAAGGGGGCAAGACCCCCTTATCCACTCCTCATACTGGACTTTCAAGAAAATTTGTTACTAATTAGGGCTCTAATTCGTCATGGTTTCTGGTGTGTAATAATTACAAGCAGAAAAAATAAAAATTAGTTTTTCAAAAGCATGCTACTGCACACTGCTCTGAAGCCCCCGTGTCCTCCTCAAATCTGCTTCAGTGAGTTAAGAGACCCTCCAAAGTAGTTTATAAACTGAAATTGTGAACCCTCTCCATCCATGGAAGCCTCATTTGAACCAAAGAACCTTCTATGAACAGAAGCACATTTTTGGATACAATCTATTATGCTCAGTATATCAGTCATACATACATATATGTTATACACTATACATACTCCACACATATTCAAGTCATACTCTTTACTAGTCAGACATAAAAAGGAATTGTTTTGGTTCTATTTTTCTATAAGTATCTGTGCCAAATGTCTAAACAATTCAATAGTAACATTTTTCCAACTGCAGCATTTTGCTCTGAACCAAATTAACATGCAGGTAAAACACTAACAAAAGCTTCAAAATGAGAATGGTATTAACAACTTCAACAAATTCCTGCATCTAAAATTAATTTTTTTTTAGTAAAAATAGCCCTTTTACTATCACAACTATTGCAATTGAGAATATGGTTGATTCTGCTGAATTAGATTAAATAGGAGAAATTACCTTTCTGAAAAATGGTCTAGATTCAACAGCCAATGCTTATAATAAATGTTAATCTGCACAATGCTAGTTTGTAGAACTCTGTCTGAAAATTAAGATTCAGGTTAGGGATTGAATTCAGGACAAACTGTCTCCCTGTGCATGTGCAGGAAGCAAGCTATACTTGGCAAACAAAGTGAGCAATTACAAAGAAGAGCCTGAGTGCTGCCTTTCTGCATATTATCTGAATAGATATGCATTGTATCTGGGTGTTAGGACTGTGTTAAACTTAAGATTAGGGTTAAAGTACGGAAAGAGGAAAATATGGCTAATATGAGTGCAAAACATGTCCCATACCAGTGATGGCGAACCTTTTAGAGACCAAGTGCCCAAACTGCAACCCAAAACCCACTTATTTGTCGCAAAGTGCCAACACTGCAATAAAATCTGAATACTGGGGTTTTAGTTTTGAAAAAACAACTCACAGTCAGTCCAAGCAAATATATATATATATCCTTGGCAGCACACTGACCGGCCATGTGAATGCTTGGACGAGTCACAACTCATGAGTCGCAGCTCGTGATGTCATCACCTGGTGCCGCTACTCCTTTCCGAGCATGCGCATGTGCACTGTTACCCGATGCTTGGCTGCTGGGGTGATGCCGGGGCGACTTGGCTTGCATGCCGACAGAGAGGACTCTGTGTGCCTGCTGTGGCACACGTGCCATAGGTTCGCCACCGCTGTCCTATACCCTTCCAATCCAATAATCAGAAGCAGGCAAATAGGGAAGTTGAGGCAACAAATTTCTGTCTCTAAGCCAGACCATGGTCTGTATACTGTAAAAAAAACACTGCTAAAGAAATTTGTGCAAATGAGCACCCAAAAACAATTCAGCTCACATATGGTTTGAGCAGAATTAGCTGAACTGCAGAAGTTCATAATTTGCACGAATTACAATTTATGCAAACTACCTAATTCTGTGAGAATTACACTATGGCCATTTGGTTTTTAGCTATTTGTGCAAATGTCATTAGTGGTTAAAAGAAATGCACAGGTTGGTCCTAAAGGCAGAAGTCAATGAGCTGGCCTATCTTGCACAACAGTGAGTCAGCACCAGAATGAAGCTAACAATCCAAAATCTAGGAGGCTGAATTGTGGACTGTTGGCTTTTCACCTCCACATTAGATTCCTCACATATCCCTATTTAAAGAGTGTTGTTTAAACTCAGTTATGGTAGTGCACCATCTAGTGTTTGTTCTTTGTATAAACTGTGTAACTGTTTTTTAAAAGCATGTTTTACAAAAGGATGAAAGATACTCCAATGAGTTGTTACAATTCTAACGCAAGAATGGGCAATTTGTGGATGATGACTGAACAAATAATTGACATGTATCCCAGTTTTAGTTATAAGTTGGTTAGACTGTTAATGTTCATACAGGGTCTGAGGAAATTCACGAAACACTATTGTGAAACTGTCAATAACATAAGAGAGCTTGCATTGCCCTATTATGCCAATTTATTCTCATGGTGTGTGGTGTACCCCCAGAAAGTATGCAACAGGGTATATAACAAATGTGAGTACTGCCACAAAATAAAGAGTAAAAAGCAGCTTGGCAACAACCAGAACAGCAAGGGCCTCTAAAAACACAACCACCACCTCAAATGACAAGAAGGGATTCTGACTGGAGCAAGGAGGAGGCAGGACAGGTTCTTTGCAGGACCACAGGAAACCAGCTGGAGGACTGAGGAGGGAGGAGGAGGAAAACAAGCCATGGGGAATCTGCTCATCTATTTGCACCATGAGTTGCTCCATGAACAAGCCACATTGCATAGCTTATTCACAGGATGGGCTGCTGTGCTGTGCGAGTCCATCCAATATGGGCCATTAACTTCAAATATGTAGAGAGAAAATACCATTCTGAAGATCTTACAGTCGTATTTCTAACAGATATATTGAGTTCCTCTATTTTTATTTCTCTGCTGTCTTATAAGGTAGCAAATTTAGCTTAATACTCATTAATGTAATAATAGGTCAAAGTAATAAATTACACTTGTGTTATATAGCTAGGCAGTAAAGACTCAGAAGAGATCCAACATAATTAAGAGGATAAAACACCAACTGATCCCTTATCCATATAATCATATTTAAGCAGGCTTATTAAAAAATAAGAGAAAGTTGTGTTAGAATTAGATCAACTCATATTATTTATACATTATAATATATAAATGATTTCAACAAACTCTTCTAGAGTTTATATAAGAAACAATTTTCAAATGAGAAAATTTGAACCTAATTTGCAGAATCAAACTGCACTTGAGCAATACCACTGTCAGCAGAGTATAATGCTCTTATCAGGCCTGTAACCTGGAGTGCGTGTAACCTGGATAAGAGCATACACTGGATTAAAGCATACACATTCTATAAGTGCTGAAGATTTACAACTGTTTAAAATAGACTCTGTTTCATCTATCTGAACAATAGACCACTCTCTTCTCAAATGCTGCAAGCAACACAAATAGTTCTAATGAAATGTCAATAAAGAAAAGCTAAAAACTCACTCACTGTCTTCTGTGGGAAGGACCTGCAAGGAATATATCCATTCTACTATATCCTCTTTGTTCACCACATCTAAGGAATCCAACATATCCAGACCAGAGAGGGCAAAAAAAGCAACTGTCAATCTGAAAGGGGAAAAAAATCAACATTTTACTACCCACCATCTGTATCAAATAGCTTGTAAGCTTGCGAATTCATTCTTCTAAGTCACACAAAAGGTACTTGTGTGTTTGAGTCAACTGCATCATGAATTGAAACAGACATGAGCACTGCAACTTGACAATCAGCTGTAGGGAGCTGCTCATATACAACTCTGCAAGCAGGCATCTGTGTTGCTGTCAAGCTTAGCTTACTAATTTCACCTTGAGCCAAAGAGTGCAGCACTGATACCAACAATTCTCTGCCTGAGAATTAAAGCAGACCAAACACAGAAACTATAGAACACTGACATGTTAAAAAGGACTGTAAAATGAACAATTCTTCATGTAAAATGAAACTTCTCTGGCGCAGAGAGCCTTTAAAAAAGCCATGAGATAGGTATGAATAGACAATGTATCCCTCTTATGGTTAGGGACATTTTAGGGCTAGAAATTATGCATTAATAAAAAGATGATTCACCTGCCTTTGCAATGTAAACCATAAAACTGAGGGCAGAAAGATTAAAAAATGAACATGGGACAGAATTGCAGCTCTACTGCAGAAACTGTAGCCGCCATGAAGCTTTATATAAAGAACACCATAAGGGCTCAGATTACCAGAAATAAAAAATAAAATAAAATAAAATAAATCCCCTGTTCTTATAATATGGAATTATTTCTCCCTTAATTCAGACTAAGAATTAGATCACACTACAACAGAAACCAAAATTGAATATGTAGCAAAATTGAGCTAACAGCAAAGACTCTTCAGGATGTAGTGGTTCCCCATCATGGTACTTTGAGACAACTCCAAAAGCAAGATACATAGACCACCAAACGTCTAGGCTCAAGAGCTCTGGAAGCTTTTATATAACCTCCACAAGCTGGAATCAACAAATCAACAGCACTACCCTATTTTGTAATTCATCTTCTCCAGGGTCAGAGAGCTGTTTTGCTAACAAACAAATGAAAGAGTACTGGTTAAAAACCAGCAGTAGCATTAACTAAAAATCTTTAGGATGGTGCAAGAGAAAATATGAAAGGAAAAATGGGCTAAGTATGAGAAGTTGTGAAAATGAGTGGGAAAAATACTTAAATTGTTATTATTAATCTGGACAATGTTCTACATCAGGTCTATAAGTTTGGTGCATAAAATATAAAGTATCACTTTAAGTGAGGTGGTTGTTTACAGACACTTCGAAGGCAGTACTCAACACAACTGATCTGCTTATGCCACAATGTACTACTAGCATATGCAGTCTCTAGCAAAATACCAACAGCATATGCTGGAGCAAAGGGTTCCCCACAAAACACTGCTCCAGTGTATGCTATAGGCATTTGTGATAGAGGTTGCTCACACTATGTGAACTGAGTAAGAAGAACTGCAGTGTTGGATACTGCTGCATGGGGGGATATAATACAAATTACACCACTGTTTTCCTATTGAAATTTAATGAAAACACACACTGCAAATACTTCACAAGTTAAACAGTCAAATCTTATGCCTCAAAAAAGATACCTAAAAATTATCCACATAAGGAACTGAGGAAAAGTTGTACAGCCTATCATGTTCCTCTAATCTATGCTCTCCCTAGCATAAGTCCCAAAATCTAATCACTGAATGGTATTTTACTGCAAGTCCAACTTGTAACTATGTTAAGTTTATGATGGTCATCTTATGATGGTTGATATAGAAAACATGATACTTGTTGAGAGTTCTAAATAAGCAAGCCAAATTTAAATCTAATAGTATTATTTCTAGTGAAGAAACCTAAATCTTACATGCTCAGCTAGTAATTTCTTAGTACAACACCATTAGTAAACAGGAGTTTAACAGCAATGTTGAAATCACACCACTGATCTCGAAAATGAAATGCCAGCCTCTTCCCCAATTTTATTTTGCAAATTCAGTAAATACAAGCCAGCAGTAACTCATGCTATTGATACAAGTCAGGCACCCTTCAAATTTTAGAACATCTTGAATAATGCCTAATTATACCTAAATACTTTGCTTTCCAGTCTTGGATATAACCACATCCTTATTAATGTTTACCAAGATTTTGCAATCTAATAAATAACCACCAAGCACATTCACATATGCTACATCCTGAAACCTGTTTGTTCAATATTGAGATTATAGACTACCCACTAATCACATAGCTAGCATACATATTAAAAATCATGGTGTAATTAAATGCACAGATTACCTGTTTCCACAAGTAGTCATTTATTTAAGTACTTAATCAGGTGACTACATATGTTGGACAGCATATCAAATGAAGAAACAAGGACCTAAGGAGGCCACTTTCAAACACAGCCCTGGTTTGCATGACTTAACAGCCCCATGTGGCTTAATTTATCTACAGTGACTTGCATTGTGTGGGACACCCATCACTTTTGCAAGATCCTCACTGGCAGCAGGGATTGTCTGAGTATTGAATAGTCCTCAAATAACTCTAAAACAAGCCATGTGTTATCTGAGAGTTGTCTAACCCTCAAACAAGACCTGCCACACTGGTATGCACAACATGACAAATGATTGCAAGCTGTGTGGATGCAGGCACTGTTGTCTTTTGTGAACCAGATCAGTATATTAAACTGGGCCAGTGTTTCCCAAACACTGACAGAAAATATGTAGCACAGAAAGTAAGCATATTTTGCCTCTCGCTCTTTTAAAGAGCTCAATGGAGCAATCTCATACATACTCAGTCACACCAAGTTCAGTGTGATGGATTTTCATTTAAGCAGGTATAGGATTACAGGTGCATTATTGTTTGCTGAAGTTATTCCCTCAGTTACAAAACAACTTCAGCTTCAGTAAGCAACTGATTTCTTTCAAAGTGACTGGCAGGAAAAAGGCCACTATTTTCAAATCATGAATCCTTCTATAAACTATTCACAAAACAAATAAATAAAGGCTTCTTGCTGCCCAAATTTCATATCTTATTCATATTCTTTTCTCATCACACCAGTTTCTAAGAGGCCCTGCCACTGCATCCCCTCGTAACACTTGCACACCTTGACTGCCTTTGGCAGTTCTCTTGTCCACACAGCTTAGAGAAATATGCATTTTGCAGCCTATAGTTCAATCCTATGCATGAACTCAGAATTAAGCCATGCTGGAACCTACCTCCAGGTAACTGTGGAGGATTGTAGCCCTAGCCATTCACATTCTAACTTTTTACTTGTGTGTTTGCACTAACATTAAGTCACCTCTACATGGACCACCCTGGAATTGTCATGGCTTGTTCACCCCAACCATTCCCCTCAGTCTACCATCCAGTTCCAGACTATATTGCAGGAAACACTGTAGCAGAACCCATCTTGTTCCAATGCCTGACTCTGATCGTTACCCAATTTCATTCCCTAAATGAGAGAAAGAATCAGAGCCTCAAAATGTGCAACTCTGCTATTTTTTATTTGTTACGTGGTTTTTCCAAATGCACTGACTGTCCAATATATGTACTCCTGGATGGTCAACTGCCTTCTAGGTTGCTGTCAAAGAGGGTACTAAAGTGGAGCAGGCAACAGACAAGGAATTAACAAGATGAAGCTGCCTGTTGTCTGATTTGCACACAGTTGTGAAGTACAGGTGGAGAAATAATAAAAAAGAAGGCACCCATTAGCACTACCCAGAAGCACTGAAAATGAGAAGTGGGGAAAACCAACAGAAATAGATCACCAAAATGGGAAGAGTGGTTATTTCTGCCTTAGCAATATCATGTAGCTTTCAAGTACTGAATTGACAGGTCTCAGTGTCCTCCAATTCCAGTTTTCCAGTTTCTATGTGTTGTTCTCCATTCTAAAAGTTTGAAATACTTTGAAATACTTCTTCTAAGCTTAGTCAGGGATAATAAGAGGTGTAGTCTGCAATCTTATGAAGATCCTATCCTAGGAGAAAACCCCATTGAGCTTACCTGAATAGACTTGGCTAGTATTGCATTAAGCTAAATATGCTGCAATTGTCTGTATTTCCGCTATCACCACCACTGGAAGGGTGACCACTAAAAACTTCTCCAAAATAGAATGCAGCCCACAAACTGAAAGCAGTTCTGCAACTCTGTTCTAAAGATACTCAACACATATTCTATGCTCAAGCTCCAAGACTTGCTTCTATAAACACTTGTTTCTTCCCAGCATTTCTTCAAACAAATTGTGTGCTTTCCTTATTCAGATCTCAAGGCATCTACACACCAAGAGCAATTCTGAAGCTGATTTCAGACAGAAAAGGGCTTACAATATAATCCCAAGCATATTTATTTAGAAATGTACCATTGTGATCAAAGGGACTTGAGCCCAGGCAAGCATGCACACAATTGCAGCCAAAGAGTTTTAATTAACTTACAATGAAATGGCAGAATTATCCAAACTTAAAAAGCACACTTTGCTAACTATTCCTAGATGTTCTACAACCTTTACAAAAACATTTATTTTCTGTAAGCTATTATCACAAACTTTTCTTTTAAAATTTCCTTTTAACAATGATGACCAACACGTCTATGCATACGCACACACCCAACCAATCACACTGTTAAGTATGCTTGCTTCTAATTGCAAGGACTTGAGAGCAGATAGGCGGTTAGGCCTACCTGTCAATTACACAAAGCTGACAAATCTTTTAACTCCAAGTGTTCATCAAAATCCTCCTACCTGTACCAAACCTCAACTCAGATACCTGAACACATTTTATAGCATGTTCATACCTAAAAAAAATTACACCACCCTGGGATGGTGTTTTTGAAAAAAGTTGGGGATAGATAAATACCTACTTTAAAAAATCAGGATAAAAAGCAAAATGGTGGAGACTGGAGAATCCTGATTCTGAACAGATGAAGCAACCTTTCCCCTTCCATATCTTTTGGACTCCAACTGCCATCAGACCCTGCCAGCAAAGCCAAAAGTCAGGGATAATGGCCAAAATATTGGAGATACAACATGGGGAAAGTTCAAAGGAATACACAATTGTTCGCTAAAGAAATGTTTTTCTAAGAAACCAAAACAGAAAGTGATGATGTTTACTCTTTCATAGTAGTGGCTTTAAGGCCTTGTTTCTCAGTGAGTTATATTAGCAAAGTATACCCTTTTAGTTTTAACATCTGGGGGTGGGGAAATCTTCCAAACTCTTCATTTCACTTAAACTGTTCTGCTGGAACCTTACTTACAATAACCACTAAAGAGACAAATCAGGAAGGGACAGCATAAAAGCCCAAGAGTAAGCAAAGTTCTGGTACAGTGCAAAAAGCACAGTGCTGCCATACATCTTATACTGACAGAGTTCTGTTCAAGTAGAAATTCCAGTTTTTCCGCTACAACCATCTCACTGTTCTTCCATGCCCACATGCACCCTTTTAGGAATTTTCACTCAATGACCGCATTCTCACATACACAAATAATAACGAACGTACTGGCGGAGAACAGAACAGCAAAAGCCCATAATACTTTCATGTTCGGCTGCAACTTAGATTATGCCAATGCTCAAAACTAGTTTTTTTTTTTTTTAATTTCAGTTGGTCGGATAAAGCCTCTAAGCAGACAAATAAGTCCTCTGAGCACAGGAAGACTGAATTTCCTGCAGTACTGAGCTGATATCGCCAACCGTCCCACCTCAAGGATTAGTTGAAGAGTTTGCGGGGCGCAGGGGTAGAGTGCGACCTCCTGCAATAGTGGAGCAGTCAACTCTAGTTAGAGTTAAGAAAGGGGCACGTTTAGGTCTGGGAAACGTGCTACACGGGGGCTGTTAGATGTCTTCGTGTCCCCATGCCTTTGAGGGGACCAACAGTAGAGCAAACCCTTCAAGTTATTCTGAGAGGTGAACTGGGGCCACCGCTCAGTAGCCCCAGAGAAGTTACTCTGCGGGAGCCTCAGGACAGGTGCTCACGATCCTGTCCCCCATCCGGAAACGCTCGTGTCCCTCCGTCCCTCCCTAGAGGTTACCTGCTAGTCTCCAAGGAGGAATACCGCTCCGGCAAAATCTGAAGGCAACGCTGGAAGAAGCGCACGTGCCGCTCCTTCAGGAAATCTAGCCGCTCTCCATCTCCGAAGGCCCCATCCTCCTCTGCAAGCGCTGCGCTCGCCTCCACTACCGCCGCTGCCGCCATGTTGGCCAACCGCTCCCTAACCTCGCGCGTAACGTCCGTCACTGGCAGCGCGCAGTCACGTGGCACGGCCAAAGCACTCCGCTCACTGGGACGGTCGCGGCAGCACCCTCGCTGCGTGGAAGAGGCGGCGAGCGCTCGGCAGCGGCTGGGGAGGCGGGTGGCGCAAGCGACTTCGGACGCGGGTCGCATCACGTTTTGGAGGAAACCTGGTGGCGCTTGTTTCGGTTTGTTGCATTTACAGGGGAACAAATGTGTGGGAATAGTTGCATTAATACGCCTGGTTTTTGCCTTGGGGGTTTGGTTTTTTTTGGCATTGTATGGAGCGTCGTCCACCAACATCTGGAGGACCACAGCCTTCACATCCCGATTCACCTTCCCTTTTCAAACTGTTCACACAATCACTGCAGCCCAGTGTGGCTTATTGAACAGACCACACAGGCACAATTTGTACGATAAGACAAGCCATGGTGTGCTCCCACTACAGCTTTTATATTCAAAATGGCAGCCGACATGGACCACAGTCCACCATGGCTTAAGCCACAGTGTTGTATGGTGATTGTGCAATCCCAGGCAATGGTTTTAAACCAACGTAGTTTTCCTGCTTTCTTTAGCATCCAGCTGGAATGTTATTCCTTTGCACCATTTTGGTTGCTCCTAATAAAGAAATTAACCTATGGGAGCCAATTTGTGATATAATGGTGACAGTGTTGAACTGGGACCCAAAATATCCATTGTGTACTCCGTGCTGTGCTGTAAAGCTCACCGAGTGATTTGGGACCAGTCAGTCAGTCTACTCTATATCAAAGTTGTGAGGATAAAAAGGAGATGCAAGATCATCTGCATCAACATGGGGTTACTTGAAGGAAAGGTGGTATATAAATGTAACTGATTAAAGAACCCTGGATTTGAGAATTTTCTTAAGGACTAACATGGCTGCCTTTGCCTTATTGAAATTTCTTATTATGAAAAATAAGTGCAGTAAAGGTGCAGTCCTATGCATTTTAGATAGAAAACAGCCCTACAACTTGGAGCATTTTCCTACAACCTGCAGCCAGGGTTACTTACCTGCTGGCTGGGGAATGCTGGGAGTTGTAGTGCTTTATTCCATCTAAACAAGCATGGGATTGCATCCTAAAATTCCTAAAGGAAATATTTGAGCTGGTATAGTAAAAACTGTGTCACCTGTACAGCAAGCTGCTTCACACATACAGCTGACAAGATATTAACAGCCACCATATTGGAGAGGTAAAAGCCTTTTGAGCAACTGATATAATGTAATGATTTCATTTAAAGATTACTCCTATTATTAAAATAAAATTATAACCCAAGTTTACATCAATCTTTGAAAATAACTTGTGTTAGAAGAATGAACTTCTTACAGGTTCGACTTTATTTTTGACTGTAACTAAAGCTTATCTCACAATGACAGAATAGTTTCAACATAGGGATATCAACACTGTAAAGTGGTCATAATACTAGTATTTTATAACTGAGTGTTGTTAGTGAGGAATGAGATTTTCACAGAGCTCAGGGATACCTCTAGGTATATAATCTCAAATGGCAGGGTTTTTTTGTTTGTTTGTTTTTTTTTCATTTCAAATTTTACAATGATTTTTCAGAACAATGTTTTTAAGTCAGTAATTTTAAAGAGAATAACACTAACACCTGGTTTGAATTTTACTATGTTGCCTTTTCTTGGAATTAATATTTACCACTGTGAAAAATGCCTCTTATCTGTATCACTTATGCTATGTTATGTTAGTCGCGAAGTCATGCCCAACCCTTCACAGCCCCGACCCCATGGACAACCTTCTTCCAGGCTCTCCTGTTCTCCACCATCCCGCAGAGTCCATCTAAGCTCACACCGACTGCTTCAGTGACTCCATCTAGCCACCTCATTCTCTGCCATCCCCTTCTTCTTTTGCCCTCAATTGTTCCCAGCATTAGGGTCTTCTCCAGTGAGCCCTTCCTTCTCATTAGATGGCCAAAGTATTTGAGTTTCATCTTCAGTATCTGGCCTTCTAAAGAGCAGTCAGGGTTGATCTCCTTGCAGTCCTAGTACCATTATAGATTTCAAATTTGGGATTGTATTATTGAATGCCTCCCCACTTTAAAAAGACATTTTGCATTAAAACAAATAGCATAGTGGCTAGTTTCTATATACAGGTTGTGCATCTCATACAAGAAGTGCAAATTGCACATGTTTACCTGGAACCATGTTTCATTGTTCAGTGGAATGCACACTTGCTTGGTATAGACTCGGATGTAGGAAAAGAGGCAAAATCACATATTGTCTTTTGAGTTTTGGTTTGGAAGAAGCTGGCCAGGAAGTAGCTCATTTTTCCTCTAGCAATGTCTTATTTCTCCATAAAGAATATCCACCTCACATCTTGAAGACAATTAATATATCTTATCTTTCACTTGCAGTTCTTAATATGGAATATATTTGACCAGTGATCCCTAACTTTTTGGACTGTAGGCACATTTGGGAATTTGAGGAACTGCTATTAGTGCCACCACAAAATTACTAGTCGCATAACGACTACAGCGGGAGCCTGGTTAATCAAAATATGTGGTGGTGATAAAAATAAAATAGTGAAGCTAGAGCTGGAAGAAAAGGGGGAAAAGCACTGGGGTGGAGATGAATTAGTGAGGCTACATGACGGTGGGGGGGAGAACAATGGACAGAAAATTAGGATGGAAGCTCAAATGGACAAAAACAGCAAGATAAAGGGGTAAGCAAGGCTAAGGGTTTGGAAGGCAGCAAAAGAAGGAAGTTAGCGATGGAGAAGAGAAAGCAATAGTGAGGTGAAGGGATGAATGCAGTCAAAAAGCAAAGCCAAAGGCTGAAAGTGGAGAGACAGAGAAAGATCAAAGGGGAAATGCCTATGTGGGTGGAAAAGGATGGGGCCAGGAGGCAACTTTTGCCTTATTTTCTTGACTACTAAGCAACTGATTAGTGGCAGGTCAGTTACAGTAAGGAAAATGGCACACACTATTTGAATTCTATATTAAAAATAAATTCTTAAGGGGGCAGGGAATGCAGAGCTTTGTGTGTGCCACTGGAGGTTACTGCACATTGGTGCTGTTTTGAGGACCCCTTGTATTGGACTACCAACCCAATAATCAAAACTAAAGAAATAAGAATGTAATGAAAGTTATGATAAAAGGAGGAGCATTTGCTTATTGAAATTTTACACAGTCTTTGTTTATTCTGCAGTAATCTACATAGCAATGTAATTTGATCTTTTATTTAATGTGACATAAAAATCACATTTACAAAACTTCACAGTATAAAATAAACAGTCTTTACGTGTAACAAAGTTGTAAAAAATGTAATAAAATACCCAGTTACATATGCATATATGTATCTTATAATTAATCTTTGTGCAGATATCCAGTTACAGCCCTTGTCGCCAGCTTGGAACAGCCCTATAAAGATGAAAAGGAGTAAGTACCATGTAAGGAGTTACATTAAAACATACAAATACTTTTTCATTTCCATACCTGTGTGGAATCTGCAGAAGTGGTCCTGTACCCACTGGTCCAATCTCTTTTGTTCGTTCTTTCCAAACTTTTGTAGGTCTGTACAGCCTGTATGGGTCTCGGCTGACATTAATTTCAACCTGATGACAGTGAAAATTTATAATAAAAAGCAGCTGCAGATAATTATTATGTAGAAGGTCAATGCATACCAAGTACCATGCCATACAATCCTAGACATGTCTACTTGGAAGTAAGTCATGGTAAGTTCAATGGGGCCTACTCCCAAGTAAGTAGGTATAGGATTTCAATGTTAATAAATCAGGACTTTAAAGAAAGCGTTATGCAAGATATTGGCCATTATTATTCTTGCAATAACTCCTTGTTGTAAGTCTTCCCATTAAAATGACATCTATTGCCATGGATTCTATTCTACTTTTACAGCCAGTGCTCCAAATCCTAGGCATGCTTAATAGAGAACAATTGAACTCAGTGGCACATTTCTAAGAAACATGCATAGGATTAAAGTATATGACACATTAATATGTTACCTTTTCTCTCAACTTGGACAATCGCTTTTCTTTTTCTTTAATTTCATCTTCTTTAGCCTGTTTTTCTAGAATTTTAAGCTCAAGCTTATGTAGGTCCTGAACAGAACAATAAAAAAGTTATTTCTAGGTATAAGAAGAATAATTCTAAAATACTACAAAACAACTTATGGTATACTCATTGCAGTATTTAAATGGCCATTGTCAGCTAGCAGTTTTCTAAGAGGGTCCTTCAAGAAGGTCCTTGACAAAATGGCCAGACCATTCCATCCCATCCATCTGTGAAGGGTCGATTCATGTAGATCCCTGCTAATCCTTTCTTACAAAGAATTGGGTTGGTGCTGTCATCTGTCCCTTGATTTATCTTCCTACTCTTGCACTACTCCATTTCCTATTCACAGAGTACAGAGTATTGATTACATGCACATGTGTACACACATACACACCCTTTGTCCAGCTCCTAGAGAACAGGACGGAGCCAGGAAAGTCAGCTACCATTAAGTAGTATATTTTATCTACAATCCTACTGATTCAATTTGCTTCTGGGTTCAATTCAAATTGCTAGTGCTTATCTTCAAAGTCTTACATGGGTAAAGATTCAGCTAATTGGCAGACTGCCCTCCTGTATGCTGAGAACTACACTGGAGGCTCCTCTGCAGATGACCCTGGATTTCAAAGTATGGTAGGTGGCAAACAGGAAGAGAGCCTCTTTGGAAATGGTATCCTATCTGTGGAATACTATATCCATACAAGATCACCTGGCAACCACTTTGTTCTCATTTCAGTGCCAAACCTTACTCTTTCTAGTTTGTGAAGATCTACTATTTTTAAAGTTTTAATTTATTTTAAGTTAGTGTGAGTTTCAGTCCCAGCTGTACATCATGGCCAAAAATTAGCAGGGATACACAGAGCAAGGAAGTGCACTGCCTCCTGGTCACTCACCACTTCTGCTTTCAATTAACAAGGTCTGGACAGTTTAGGGGTTAAACAACCCAGTGTTAACCCAACAACAAACCATGAGTTTGTTGCAGCATTCCAATTGAAAGCAGAAATGGGTGAGTAGTTGGGAGCCTGCACTCTTGGTCACTTCAGCCTTCTCACAAACCATTAATATACTGTAGGTTGTTTTATCAAACAAAGCTATTCGTACTGTGTACTATGTGGTTGGTGTTTAAATGTGTGTGTGTGTGTGTGTGTGTGTGTGTGTGTGTGTGTGTGTAAGGTATTTTTACTTTTATCTTCAGTGACAAGCCCCTAGAGTGGTTTTACATTAGATTGGGGTGGACAACATGTGACCCATAGGCCACATTCAACCCTGGCCCATACTGTGGCCCTGCCATCCCCCTGCTATGTTAAAAGTTGGTAGTACAACAGCAACCCCAGCACCATCACAGTTTGCCCTTTCAGCTTCCATCACAATTTTTGTTTTGCTAGTGACATGTCAACAGGAATGCAGCCTTTAAAAATGTTCAAGTTTTCCTGGAAATGCCAGTCCACCACCAAAGTGTGAGATATGCATTTCAGAAAGAAACAGAACAAAACAACATCTGTTTCTTTTTGCCCTTACAGAGCCAAGGCTTTTAGTCTAGGAATATGGCTCTCAGCTTGTTAACAGTCTCCACAGCGTTATTACAGAGGCTGAACATAGTTTGCATTTCCTCTACTTCCTCTCTTTTTGGGAAAAAGAGAGCAGTTAGCCAATTCTGTCCCTTCTGTCTCTAGCAGAGAGTATGTAATGGGGCGGGGGGGAGGTTAGGCTAGAGTGGTTCCACTGTGTTTGCTTTTCTTCCTCTGTGGCAAGAGATAGAGAAGGCCACTTTAAACAGCTGAGCTACATCCTTCAAAATGGAAACATGTAACAAATCTCTGTCCTGAAGACAGAATTTAGGCTTGTTTCTCTTACCCACATCTTCCCTCCTGTTCATTCCAAGACAGTGAGCCCAGCATGCAATCTTCAAGGTGGAGAATATATGTTCAGGAAAAAGCACATGTAGCTGGTTCCTCTCTCCTTTCTTGGAAAGGACAGACAAGCAGGATGTATTTACACAACATCCAAAGCCAGACTGCTGCATTCAGGCTTAAAAACCACAGTACCTATTATACAGCCAACAGACATTCAGGCACATTTTGGGTAGGATGCATCTTACTTTCTTTCCCCTTTTGTCTGCCTGCAGGTATCCCTCTTCCCTACCACTGCTTGTCACATTGCCTTTGCAGCTTTGAACTGCATGACAAGCCCCTCTGGCTTGTGATTTGTCATTGGTATGTGAACCAGTCCATACCAATTCAGCAGAAAGCAGATGCGTGGCTACTGCAGTTTATCAGATGGTGTAAGATAGACCCTACAGTGTTTATTCCAGAATTACTGGACAACTGAAGGCACACATTTTTGTCCCACCAAAAGCCAGTCCTTCTTGCCCCAGGTGAGCAATTAGTTAAAACCCTGTATTGGTCATCATCCTGGAAAATCAATCAGCAAAACCATTACTTGGGCTTAACTGTAATCATTTTTCCCCAGAAGATAATTGCTGCCAGATAAGTACAAATGCACAAAGGAATAGGTATTGTCTGGTTATGTCTTAGAATATCCATTTTATGTTATACTGCATAATAGAAGAATCTGAAATGTGCAGGAAATAAACAGACTACTCACCCGTTCTTGGAACTTAACAATTTGTTCTGCAGCAGTTCTTCTCTTCTCTTCCCTTTCAGCTTCCTCCCTTTTCTCCTTGTCAAGTCTCAAACACTCTTCTTGTTCTTTCTTTTTCCTAGTATACTCCTCCAGCAGCAACTTCATCTGAAACTGTCGTTTATGTTCTCTTTGCTTTTTCTTCTCCTTCTCTTCTTCTTCTTGCAACTGAGCTGCTTGTTTCATTGCAAATGCAACTGCTTTATGTTTTTTCCATTCTTTGAGCTCCACAAGTCGTTTTTTTCTTTCCTCATCAGCTTTTTGTTTCTGAGCTTCTTCATGCTGAAATTTGGCTGCATTGAGCACTGGCTTCTCCTTTTCAGCTAAGATTTTCTGTCTTTCTTGTTGCTTATTCATCTTCCATTTTTGAATGGACTAGAACATAATAGTAAAAAGTTACATTCTATGTAGCACCATATCAGCTGTAGTTCAGTAAAGATTAGAGCTGAAGAAAATACTTCAAAACCCTTAATCACTTCAAGCTACTGGAAACTTGTACAACTAAGCATCTGACCAAAAACAGCCAAAAATGTATTTTATTTATTCAATTTCTCTACTGACCAATAGCCAAAAAGTTTTGAGCAGTTCACAAAACCAACATGTGGAACACGGATTAGCAGAAGATAGCTCTTCAGATGTTTTTGCCTTCAGTTCCTAGAAGCCCATGTCAGCATGGCCCCTGCTCTGAAGTTCAAAACATCTGGAGATCTGATTTCTGCCCACCCCAGAATGGATTCTTGACATAGAAGATTTTCTCTTAAATATGTAACATATCTATGTGTCCTGCACATCCAGTGCCAGTAATATTTACCTACCCAGACCTTGCAACATGTGAGATATTTCAGTGATAAGCTTTTCAAACAGAGATACAGCAGTATAGGCAACACTAAATCATACATTTAGGATTTAGCATAAAGTACAACTACAGGTACTACTTCAACTTCTTTAAAGCCTAGCTACTGCTTTTTTGTGCAAAAATGCAGGGATAGGCACAATTTGCAATGGAGAACTTTGGATGGCAGGAAGTATTTAATCCTTTCTCTAGTTTCTGATTCCCCCCTACAACTCTTCCCTTCCCCATGCATACATATACACATGGAAGCTGGCTTCGCTCAGATAATAGGACTACAACTTGTGGGGTAAAGCATGAGTTAAATACCTCTACCTTCTTAAAGCTTATCTATAGCAAATTGTGCTCTCAGAGCTCTGATTCATGAGAAAGCAGCATCTAGACTTCAAAGAGACATGGTAGTCAAAATGCATATTGTGTGTTTAGGCACCAGGTCTAAGCAGACCTCCACAGAAAATTCAAGCTGATCAATTTTCATCTGACAGCCCAAATATTGAGAATGAAAAGATTTTCTTAGAATGCCAAAAAGCCTACAAATAGCTTACCACATATAAACATGCACCAAGTAAAGAGGCCTCTGTGTAGTGATTGCAATATATTGATTGGCCTTTATTTCCTGCTCCTGGTCAGGTTCACAATTTCATTATCCAAAATAACTGTGTACCTAGTACAATTCTTTTATTAAAAAGCTTTTTTTCCTTTCTTGTTTTTCATTAATAATTAAGATCTTTTAAAAGTCTTTTTGCATAAGCATTTTTATAAAAATATATGAATGGAGCGGGTATGGTGGTCCCATGGCAGTTTCAGCAGGCTCAGCCAGAAATAGCAGGAGCATGCCAGCAGAGGGCAATGGTGTCTTCCACATTCCACTCAGTCACCACAAAAGAAGCTGGGGGCTGAGGGAGGGGAAGAGCTGAAAGGGATTGGTAGTAGCCGTGCAAAAGGGCTCCAGAGCCAGAGATATCAAAAGATATGGTAGCTATGCAAAAGGCTGAAGAAAATAGGAAAGGCACTCTTAATAACCATAGGGAGCTCAGCCAACTCACTAACAGGCAGGAGAGTGCCAAAGGAGACAGAGGAGGCAGTGGGAAAGGTGAGTAAGAGCAGGAATAGCAACTGCGTGAGGCTGAGGCTCAGTGATCATACAGGACATAGGTGAGAATATAGCTTTACAGCCAACACTCCTATATCCTGAAACTGCAATTGGGCAGGCAAGTAGAGGGTGATCTGTATCTGTAGCTAAACATGTTCAACAAGAACAAAGTTCCATATGAAGTCCAACACAGGTGTAAATAAAAGAAGCAATAACAACCTTGGCTACTAGGGAGCCATACTCCTCATGGGCACAGACACAAGGCATAGGGCACTCAAAGGAGACGACTGGCAAAATGGGAAGTCTGTGGTTCCATGCAGAGCTTAAATGAACTACTCAACTTAGCTGTTCTCCCAAAGAAATTGAGTTGAATTAGACTCTTGATGATCACAAAGATACAATAAACATTCTCCTATACAAAACTATTCAACACCAGCACCCATACCTACATGTCTTGCTTATCAGCTCATGAGGAAAAGTCATTGCAGCAAATAGAGCTACAGCTGAAAAAGCAGGAGAGCTATTTGCATTCGGTCTGATGCATGCACTGTTAAAACTACAAACACCCTTCAATTTCACATTTTCTTACCTCCTTTTTTTGTGCCTCTAAAATTAGAAATTCTTGATGCCATTTCTCATGCTGTTGAATAGTCTCCCTTGTTTTGTCAGGGAGATAATCAAGGGCTTCATTTATATATGATGGTTTTCCTTTATGCTTTGTCCAAACTTTCAAAAAGATCTGATGATCACATTCGTCCCAGCCTCCTTGTCTCCCACCTGTCTGTTGAAGAAATCTTTCAAGCTCAAGTACTTCTTCAGGCAGATGGGTTTGGATTTCCTTATCTAATGGAAGTAGTCCTTGCTTGAAAATTCTTCCTGTTGCTGAAGTTCCTAATGTCCACATCTCTATTTTTCTCTCCAAGGCGTTAAGCTCATTAGTAGCAGTCTTTTCCTCTTTTATAAGCTCTTCGTATCTGAAATAAACAATTTATGATTAGCAAAGTAATTATCCAGCAATCCAAAAAACATAAACAAAATCTAAAGAACAGTGTGGCCAATGCAACTGTGATGCTACATTCCATGAACCTGCCTCCTGTATTCCCATAGGCATACTGCATGGCCAAAGCTGCTTAAAAACAGGATATAAAAGTTGTTTGAGATGTAGCCATCAGAAATCCTTTTTAAAATCAAAATATCCCCATGGTGAAGGCTAGGTTTTTGGATGTGTTTAGCATAAGTCTTTGGATCCAGATGATGACAGCAAACTTAAGATGGGGCAAGCTGGAGACACAGAGGCTTCAGTTCTTCCACAACTACAGCCTGTCCATTTCAGTGTGAAGTCCCAAGACTGTGCTACAGGTCTATCTACATATTTTCCCATCTAGGGAAACCAATGAATGGAAAATATTTTCAAACCAGCAAGGGGGGGGGGGAGGTAAACCCCCTCCCCTTCTTTCATAAGATTTGGATGTTGCTGATGATCTACTTCATTTCTGCATCCCAACCCTACTTAGGGCTGCTCTGTACAGAAGAACATCCTGTTCCTTTACTTGGCCATTAAAGTAGGAAAAGAGGAAACATAGCTTGATATCACATGGGACTACAAATATAAACATGCCCTACCTATTCAGTTGACTAAATGCACAGGTTTTCATATGTAAGGAAAAAATAAACATTCAGGAAGACAAACCTAACTCAGCTTGAATGTTGATTTTACATCAGAACAGTAAAAGGAAAGGGGAAAAAACAGAAAATGATTAAAAGACATGCTGACCCAGTTTGGATGCAACACTGTGGCTTATCATGGATAACTTAAAATGAAAATGAGCTATGGTATTTGATATGCAACCTCTGCTTGGGAGCGGCCATGTCAGATAAACCCAGCAAGCATGGGTTATGTGAGGATTAAACAACCCTCACATAACCATAAAACAGACCATGGGTTATTTAATCCTTGCATAACTCACATTCAGTGCATTTGCTTGGCATTAAATGTCACGTAGGGGGGTATATTCAGAATGGCAGCTGCACATGCTACAGCCTCACAATGAGTAAAGTAATCTACAGCAAACTGTTGCATTGTGTAAATGCCCCCAGTAGCTATATCTACAATATGTCATCGCTGACATTCTGATATATCTTGCTGTTTTAGTTTATCGACAATTCGGCTCAGAATTAGGCCACACAGGATATCAGAGAAGGTGGCTTTCTTGATGACTGTATCAGGAATCTGGAAGTCCATTTGAAAGATGTACTTTGGCCCTTCTTTAATTGAGATCTGCTTTACTGTTAAAACTTGCCTTTCTAAAAAGGCCTTTTGGATCATAATTTTATTAAACTGAATAATTTAAGCTCCTGGACACTGTCTAAAAAATGGGCTTTAAAGTTGATCTCTACTTTTTCAAATCCTGCTGTTTTTGGTGTTTTGATTTATTGTTATTACATCAATGTTCTACTCTTGTTATCTGTTTTGAGCCTATTTAGAAAACACAAGATACAAATGTTCTAAATAAAAGCAGAACCATACATTTGTCTTTGTTCTTCTTTAAAAGCATTGATTGCCATTTCAGTTTCTTCCATCATTTCTCTGAGTCTGTCAACAACTAAAAACAGAAGAAAAGGTAATGTTTACATATCAAAATCTAGAAGCTGGAATCTATCAGATATTATAGTAAAGTAATACACAGTATAGAAGAAAGCCAGTGTGGTAATTAGAATGTGGGACTGGGAACCTGGGAGATCCAGTTCCTAGTTCTTACTTGGCCAGGAAGCTCACTGGCTGACTCTGGGCCAGTCACTCAATCTCAGCTTAACCTACCTCACAGGGTTGCTGTTGTAAGGATAAAGCTTTGTAAGCCATCTTGAGTTCCTCACAAGAAAAAAAATGGGATATAACTGCAATGTAATGATTTTAAAATAACCCAATTCCAAATCCAAAGAAACCAGGAGAGTTTGGCTTTACACAACCATCCCATACAGCTCCCAGTATCTCTCATTAAGTAGCCACTGAATTCATGGCAAGAACACCTGCACAATAATTTATACAAGTCCTTTAATAATGTCAAGTCACAAATCTTTATCTATATTGGCTAGATGTAAAAAAAAAGACAGGGCTTCTGTACCTTTAATAGTTGTATAGAACAAGGAATTTCAATCAATGGAGCCTGTCATGGAAGTGACACCTGAAATGTCCCTTTTCACACATCTATTAAAGGTGTAGAGGACTTTTCCTCTTTTGCATCTGGCCACCCTCCCTCATTCCCAAATTAGGAAATAACTAATTAGGAAATAACATTTCCATCCATTACCCCTAAACAGGAATGAATTCAAGTTAGAAATGCTCGTAGAATAAAGCAGGCTGTCAATTTCCTGACTTCACTAAGTTGCTATTCAAGGTGTTCAGAGAGATTCTAAGAATGTTTCCTCAAAAGTAAGTCTCATTGCCTTCGGGGAGATTCACTTCCTGCTGTGTATGTATAGGACTGCAGACTTTGGAAGAAGGGCTAAAACTATGATCATTTTAAGCCAAGCATATAAGAAAAATCTTTGCAGTTTCATAAGCTAGGGAAATGCACTAATACTGAAAGCACAGGAGAAGATGCAACTTACAGCAAGCAAGATATAGGGAGAGTGTTTGCCTAACAAGAGCATTAGCCAAAAAAAAAAAACCCCAAACCCAACAAAAAAACTTACATTCTGGGGTTGGCTTCACATCTTTTAACTGTCGCTGAAGCCCCTTAACATTGTTATGAATTCTGGCCAGTTTTTGCTGAATCTTAGCTTCTATGGAAGAAAACAAAAATCCTATCACATTTTCATGTTAAAACTTCATCTCCTTTTATAAGTTTTTTTAAAAATAGTTTTTCATGTGCATCTCACATTTCTGACTCCATTACTGGCTGTTTCATTTTCTTTCTCAGACTGCTGTATCAATGGTGCAAGCCTTTGACAGTCTAACCCATGTATTTTCATGGACATCACTACTTCTTTGCTCAGTAGGGCTGGCTACCAAATAAGGCTGCACAGGAGGTATGGACAATTTGTGACCTTCCAGGTGTTTTGACCTGCAGCTTCCATTAGCCTGAGCCGACACAGCCAATGATGAGGATTCATAAGAGCTGTAGGCCAAAATGCCTGGAGGGTCACAAATTGCCTACCACCGCTGTATAAGATGCAATCCTATAAAAAGCCATACTGAACACTCTTGGCATTAGTTCTGAGTAAATAGGATTACACTGCTAGAGACACAGTGCTTTCTTCCATATTGTAACTTTTTCTGTGATACTATTTTCAGTCACAATTCTTGTCTTCATTTTTTCCAGAGCCCATTTACTACAAAGCAAACAAGTTAATACGAACTCATACCTGAAGTAAAATGTAAATTCTTTTAATATGCACACAGCTAAAGCATTGCTTTGTTACTAGCATTCCCACCCAACACACCCTTTTTAATTTCACCTTGACAAGTAGCTCTATAATTTCTTTGCCTTAGTCTACAATTGTTTTCTGCTTCGTTTCTGAAAACATACCTTATCTCCAATAATTGCGTCCCCTTTTCTGAGAAACAAATGATGCCTTATAAAAATGCTGGCACTCTAAACCATCCATTACGTGGAAGTTCTCCTTAAATCAGCTTGCTTCTATATAACCACACCAATCATGTGATTCCTTGGGAGCAAAGGAACTCCAATAAACAAATAACATGAACAAGCAGGAACTGTCCCTCCATTTAGTGAAAAGGGCAACCTATTTGCAGAGGATTGTTATGGGCATATCTGAAAGCTCAAGGAGATCCAGATAAGGAATTATCTGTTTGAGCTCAGGGTATAGGTAATACAAGTCTATATATCCAGAATATTCAGGAATTGAGCAGCTTCTACAGAACATTATTATATCGCTCAATGCAGAATCCAAACTTATGTTTACTCAGACATCCATCTGAGCACAACAGATTTACTTCCAAGCAAACGTGCAGTCCTCCATTATGTGCCACCTCTGTACACATACAATTTTTAGCAAATTTTCAACAAGCTGTACTAATGTTTGCAAAACTATTGCATCAAACTGTGGGGGAGATCTAACCTTCAACCTTTCTCCAGGTATGTGAACAGAAAGCACTTCAACTAACTTACAACAAGAAGGAGAGCAGAACATTATTTCCAGCAGCAGCTCCTTAAGACTTTTGGGTTGTATTCTGGAGGACACCCAACTGTGGCAAGGATCCCTCTGGGGGTGTGGGTGCCATTTGAAGGGGAAGTTTAAAAGCAACCATGCATGAGCAGAGAAGCTGGATGGAATTCTGGTCTACATTGGGCCCATTCACACATAACTGGCCCACCCTTTTGCCTATGGTCCCACCTACCAATAGAATGCAGCCCCTGTTAATTAACCCATAAGTTGCTGGTTAGTGTATTTCATGTGAACCACTTCTACTTTGTATATTCAACCTTAAAGTGGTCCAGTCATTGGCTATTATGATGTACAGATCAATTAAGTGCAACTTTCATTGGTAAAATCACACAATCACTGAAACATAGCTAGGCCAGAGAAAAGACCTCTTTTCTAGAAATCAACATGTGTGCATCCTTGAAATGTAGCTGAACTTAACCAGGCACCATTCCAGGGAGACCCAGTTGACTCTTGACAGATAACAGCAGCGCAAACAAAGGGCGAGTCATCATCAACCCACCCCATTCTCCTCCCCTCCTTCCCAACATCTTCTTTCTGCTTTGCTAAGCAGCCAGGAAAGATCATGCCATTGTAACTTTTCACTTCTGAAACCTCTTAGAAAGTGTTAACTGTGTTATGTGTAATGCTTTAATGATCAATGTATAAAAGTGCCAACAGAGGACTGTTCAGGTGCACCATCTGGAACAATTTGTTGGCAGCTGGTTATTCTCAAGAATAAGTATTTTTAAAGAAAAGCTTCCCCTGTTGTGTATTTGGGGCATGCACACACCAGGACACAGACCATTTGGACAACAACTGTGTGACATGTAGATTTGGACACTTTAGATTGTTCATGGGTGAAACAAGTTAACCTAGGAACTATTCATGTATTAATTTTGGGCTATTTAACCCATGAACACCCCAAAGTTTCCAGGTTTTACATACTATACAGCTCACAACTGGGTTAACTGGAGGTTAATTATACAAAACAGAAGTAGATTGCATGTAGCACACAACACAGCAAATCATGCTTATCTCTGAGAAATCACCTCTGACACCCAAAAGAAAATGTTTCCAAAATGTGATCTTATAAAGTTACTGTGCAATATTTGACTATTTGGATACTCTTAAGTATGCTTGGATATCTTTTAAAAGGAGGGATTATTTATACTCTCTGGCAAAAAGATGTTATCTTATCAAAAACACATTACCATCAAGTGCGATCCATTTCAATAGGTCCCTGTAGGGCTTATGTTGGATTTTACCCACTGTGAAAATATGGTATGTTTTGTTATTCACAGAACATATAATGTAGCAGGCTGCTTTCAGTTATTATCAGAGTGGTAACTGAATATATATAAAAACAATATTTTACTTTCTGCTTTCCGGTTTTTAGTCAGTTTGTGCTCTAGTTCTTCCAGGGTACAATATTCCTTCCTGAAGTCACTCTTCTTGTTGAAAAGAAGGATATTTTTATCCTTTTCAATGTTCACAAGTCTGGGGGTAGGATAAAGAGTTTTACTGGAAAACATTTATTTGGCAAATCACATAGTAAATAGCTATTAATATCAGTTGAATCAGAATTCAAAAATGCTGACCAGGTAAATCTTTTTGTAATACATGTTGAACATGCAATATTCTTATTTTCATTTAAAAGACATTCACTCAAAACAATACATAGTTTTAATTAGTCCATACACCAAACCTATACATTATTTCAGTGATGAGTAAATGTCAATAAATATTGTGAAGCTGTACAATTTTCAAAATACAAGGGCAATAAAACATCCTTTTCTTATGGTCAAATTAGACAAAAACAAGATTACCCCATTAAAAAACGAACAAAAAAATTACAAAGGGGTGAGCACCCTGAAGGTTAGCCACTTTAAGGTTAAAATAGCATAAAGGCTGCTAATTGCATGTAGATCGAACTTATAATGAACACAAAGACAATATGCTTGTAAAAAGCCTTCAGGTATGTTACTTTAAAATACAATGTTGATTAAAATCATACAGCCAAGATTAGCTATTGCAGCATAACATTAAGCACAATACTTGAGCAATTTTGCACCTGTTCAAGTAAATCACGTTGACTAAAATGGTTATTAGTTCACAAGGATTAGACTCTCTCAAAAATACTTCTTTTATTGGTCTCTGCTACTAGATGGTGCAATCCTATCTATATTTACTGAGGAATAAGCCATCTGGAAGTTATTATTTTTAGGGATTAGGATATATAAGATTGGGCTTATATCTGCCATAATTCCCCATGCAGCACACCAGTGTCTAAATTTATCTATCTATCTATCTATCTATCTATCTATCTATCTATCTATCTATCTATCTAGAGAACTTCTATGCCGCCCCATTTGCCGAAGCCTTGGGGCGGCTCACAAAAATAATCACTTTCTTGAGAATTTTCTGCCCAGCTCGTTCTATCTGCCCCTTTAAGCACATTCCATGCCTCAGAAGCATCAGAAGCACCTTCGTTTTGCTAATGCTAACCCTGGATTTGTCCCATAACCCTAAATTCTGGTGGAATTCCCCATGCAGCAGACCCATTTCTACACTCTTAACTTTCTGGAGCTTTTTCTGCCCAGCTCAGTCTATTTAATTCTTCTAAGCACCTTCCAGGCCTTGGAAGCATCAGAAGCTCCTTTGTCTTGCAAACCCTAACCCTACCCTGGATTTCCCCCGCAACCCTAAAATCTGGCATAATTCCCCATGCAGCACACCAATTTCTAAAATACTCACTTTCCGGAGATTCTTCTGCCCAGCTCATTCTATCTGACCCTTCTAAGCACCTTGCAGGACTCAAAAGCATCAGAAGCACCTTTGTTTTGCTAACCCTAACTCCACCCTGGACTTGCCCCATAACCCTAAAATCTTGCATAATTCCCCATTTGGCACACCTATTTCTAAAATCCTCATTTTCTGGAGAATTTTTGCTCATCTGGGTCTATCTGCCCTTTCTAAACTCCTTCCAGGCATCGGAAGCAGCAGAAGCACTTTTGTTTTGCTAACCCTAACCCTATCTTGGATTTCCTCCGTAACCCTAAAATTAGGCATAATTCCCCATGCAGCACACTCATTTCTAAAATCGTCACTTTCCAGAGATTGTTGTATTGTTGTGCCCAGCTCGTTCTTTCTGCCCCTTCTGAGCACCTTCTGTGACTTGGAAGCGTCAGAAGCAACTTCGTTTTGCTAACTCTAAACCTACCCTGGATTTGCCCCATCACTTTAAAATGGCATAATTCCCGATGCAGCGAACCCATTTCTACAATCATCACTTTCCGGAGCATTTTCTGCCCTCTTCGGTCTATCTGCCCCTTCTAAGCACTTTCCAGGCCTTGGTAGCATCAGCAGCTCCTTTCTCTTGCAAACCCACACCCTACCCTGGATATCCCCTGTAACCATAAAAGCTGGCATAATTCCCCATGAAGAACACCCATCTTTAAAATCTTCACTTTCCGGAGATTTTCTGCCCAGCTCATTCTAATTCGCCCTTCTAAGCACATTCCAGGCCTTGGAACCCTCAGAGGCACCTTCGTTTCACTAATCCTAACCCTAACCCTACCCTGGATTTCCCCAAGAACCCTGAAATCTGGCATACTTCCCCATGCAGCACACCATTTTTAAAACCCTCACTTTCTGGAGATTTTTCCTGCCCAGCTCATTCTAATTCGCCCTTCTAAGAACCTTCCAGGTCTCAGAACCTTCATAAGCACCTTTGTATTGCTAATGCTAACCCTACCCCTCTAACCAAAAAGCTGACATGATTCCCCATGAAGAACACCCATTTATGCTACATGGGTAATTATCCCAAATTTTAGGTTTCCATGGAAAATTCAGGGTTTTTCAAGGTGCTTCTGATGCTTCTGAGGCCTGGAAGGTGCTTAGAAGGGGCAGACAGAATGACCTGGGCACAAAAATCTCCAGAAAGTGAGGATTTTAGAAACTGGTTTGCTGCATGGACAATTCAGGGTAGGGTTAGAGTTAGCAAAATGAACATGCTTCTGAGACCTGGAAGATGCTTAGAAGGGGCAGATAGAATGACCTGGGCACAAAAATCTCCAGAAAGTGAAGATTTTATAAAATCCATGTGCTGCATAGAGAAGTTTGCCAGATTTTCGGGTCACGGGGGAAATCCAGGGTAGGGTTAGGGTTAGCGATACAAAGTCACTTCTGATGGTTCTGAGGCCAGGAAGGTGCTCAGAAGGGGCAGATAGTCGCTTAAGAAGCACCTTTGTTTTGGCAACTCTAGATGTGGGGTCCTCATTTTCTATAGCATTTCTAAATCCTATGAGTTTTCCAATATTATCCAAAATTACAGTTTTGTAAAAACAAACAAAGGAGAATACTTTTCCTAAATGATGTTGTAGCCATGCAACAAGAATATTAACAGAAAAGTATTCGTAGAGTCTACCCTATCTGCTAATACCAACAAAAGGTTACTTTTTCTCTGTAACATTACCTTATTGTCCTGGGTGGATTACTTTCTTATAAAATGTAACTTACTGGTTTTTTAGCTTATCTCTTGTCCTTATAAATTCAGTTTTCTTAACTTGATCAGCTTTCATCTTCCCATTTGGAAAAGGTTGAACAGCACGTGGAGTACTGAAACAGCTGTCATTCTACATGGAACATAACATCAAGAACTGTTTATTTTGAAGGATATTTTAAACAATATTATAAAATGAAAGCCTGATTTCTGTTTTTTAAGGCTGCAATCCTACACATGGTTTGAAAAAAAAGGCATGACTACCTGGCAGGGTTTCTTCCTGCCTAATCATGCATTGGATTGCATCCTAAATTATATGTATTTCACCCAAACATTCAGCCTTTATTTGTGTCAGAAAACCACAAATACAATTAGTATAAGTCTTAAGATAAAAACAAAACAATGACCAATATAGAAACACCTATGTATAAACAGCAATATACAAAGGCAAAATCATAAAGCCCGTGTGGGCTTTGCCCATTGTTGGGAGACTTCAAGGAGCAGGTTGTATCAGGTCCTTCATCATGTCTGTTGATGGGCATAGAGTACACTGCTGTGAGAGAGAGAGTGCCCAGTTCTCACTGCGCCTGCAGAGGACTGTGTCAAGCCAAAAGGCCAATTTTCTTAGGTCCATCTTAATCTGCAAGCACCAGTTCTTAGCTTTTTGGTGACTTTTAGGCAATCCAGTTCTCCATATGACTGGAAGCTAAGCTTTTCTGAGACTTCATCCATTTTAGGACACGGGTGGACCTTTCTCTTCACAATGTAATACTGGCATTTGTTACTGTTTTATCACAACTGAATATAATACAAGCATACATAATTCATAGATGTTCTAAAAAGGGGTTTCTTGATTTTAATCTAGGAAGTACAGGGTAATAGCCAAATAGTGGAAGTAAATTTGATGTAGATGCTTTGAGTCTTTCACTGTTGGCAGCAACCGGTCCATCCTTATGTCACTGGGCATAATTCCAGCTAAGCAATTAATTTTATCAATAGGGGTTGGCTTCAGGCATCCTGTAATGATTTGACAGATTTCACTGAGTCCTGTATCTACCAGTTTTGCATGGGCTGAGCAGTAACACACCAGGGTGGCATATTCACCTGAATAACATAAGGCCAAAACTGTGGTTCTTATTGTTTGTGGTCCCACTAATGTAAAAGTAGGTCCTCTTTGATCCTAGAACATCCTAGTACTAAATCTCATCATCAGAATCAATCTCCAAGATGCTTAGAAAAACCAAGAGTATTGATTTATCATGATATTTGGCAACAGTGCAGCAGAAAATTCAAGGCATCCAAATGGCTTTGAGGATACATAGGTCCTTCTGAAAAGTAGGGTTTGTGCTATTCTGTTCATCATAATGATGTGCCTCAGCACAAGGGAAATATAAAAACTTATTTCACTACCATTAAAAAAGAACGGGTGAGCTCTCTTTTACAAATGATGCTCAAGGTGAAAATACCGCACAAGAGACCCAATTATAGAAATATGTAATTAGAGAAGTGTCTCAGTAACCCATAGGTGGGCAATTTGTGACTTTTCACCACCCCTCACCATTGCCTATGCTGCTTAGAACAGCTGGAACTTTTACAGCAAAACATGTGGAGGACCACAAGTTGCCCAGCCCTGCACTACACCCTTGTCATTCAGCGGTGTCATATGGGTCTAATCCTGACCCAGTATCAGCAGCTGGCATTCTACAATCTTTGCCAGGGCTCATGTACTGAGTACACTCACCCCTGCCACTACCAGTGCACACTGCCCCAAACTCCCCCTCATACTTGAGAGAACTTACCCAGTGGTAACGCTGTAATGAGGGGAAGGAGTGGCAGTGGGTTGCAGGAGGGCAGTCAGCACTGGCAGGGAGGGCACCACATGTAATCCCCCAAAGGACCTCAAAATCTGAAGCCATCCTTAGGCTAGCCTAGGGTTATACCAATTCAGTGTTCAAATTTTGTGCGCAAGGAGGAGGAGCAGACCTATTAGCTTTTGGGAACATCCCCATTTATTTACTGCTGTTAGGCTGGGCTGAAATAAGGAGGGCTCACTGGGGGACCCTGTGGATTTTCCTACTATTTCTGTCCATAATTCAAGCATGGCTCCCATATAAGCTTTACTGATTTTTATTAGTAGTATCCCACATTTCAACCAAAATATGATACACAGGAAGCTTACAAAACAATTTAAAATAGAGTAAAATAATAAATTACAATAAAAAATTACAGAATAAAAACAACATCTAACCCATAGACCAAATTAAAGGCCAAAGGCTTACTTAAACAAAACAGTCTTGTTTTGCTGACAGCAGGAAGGTGGAAAATGCAGCCTCCCTTGGGAGGAGTTCCACAGCCTGGGTGCAGCCACCAAAAAGGCCCTTTCCTGGGTCCCCACCAAACATGCCTCTGGCAGGAGGCAGCCTCAAAAGTAACTTTTGTTAACCACCTGGAAAGCTTCAGCTATGGGGTAGTATAAAAATGAAATAGATGAATAATTGAAAAGAAAGGCCTCTAAAGAATAACAGAGCAGCCTCCTATAGGAGAAAGGGGTCTTTCAGGCAGCCCGGCCCCAAGCCATATCGAGCTTTATAGGTCATCCCCAACACTCTGAATTCTGCCTGGAAAACAGCCTAACCCAGTTGTTGCCAATTGCAGCACCCCAAAACACTCCAAAAGTAGTTGGCCAGAGGGAGGTCACAGTTACACTGTCCCAGAAGGGAGGGGTGGTAAGAACAAAATGAACTTTGTGTAACTCACAGCTAACAAGCTAGCCTGACCTCGAATACAGTAATCAAAGGGACAGTGAAAACTGCTTATAGGTGCCATGAAAGTTGCAAATGTGCAGGGAGTAAGAACATGGCAAGCCTGTGTGAATCTCGAGCAGAAAAGAAATGGACATGGGAAATGTCTGGCCCTTGACAGAAGAAAAGACTCTTTGAAGCTAACAGTAGTGGGGGTGTGGCAACATGGATGTATTGATGCATTAGAGGTGTATTAAGTAACCTAACTGCTTATCTAGGATATAAAATGCATGTACAGGGTGCAACTTTCAAGACACTGCTTTGGGCTGAACATTCTCTTTCGTCTCCCTTTATTCTATAGTGCACTAGAATAAAACTGGTTTTGGCTCTAAGTCTCATCTCAGGCTCCTTTTGACTTGGGTCTGGGGTCCACCAGGGTTTGCCCTAGCTGAATTCAGTAACACAGTGAAGCTGCCGCAACGAAAGTCCCACCTTTCCCGGTCATCCAGCCCCAGTCAACATTCTGCACCAACTGAAAATGGAAAGTTATAATCTAAATACTCCAACGATATCCAATCGACATTTCTAGAATTTTTATCTTCTCAGCTCCCTTGCCTGAAACCGCTTCTCTTCCATTGTACAGAGACCTACTACGAGGTTTCCAAGTCACTCCGACCATCCGGGGAAAACTGCTGCAGCCCAGCACTGCAAGTATTCGCGCCGGTGTAGAAGCTCGCGTGCTTCAGCGAAGGCGCGCGCTGCCGACGGGCCTCGAGGAGGAGACGATCGTTTCAACTTCAGCTCCACAAACGCGCCGCGCTCCGCCTCCCCCGTTTCCTTCCCTCACCGCGCAAACACGCGGCGATGCCAAGATGCCCGCGAAGGACAAAATAATCGTCCAGTATAATTTGAGGAAGGAGACGGACGACTGCAGGCGAATTTACCTGGCGGTACCTGGTAGCCCCCACAGGCGCTGCCGTTGCTAGGGCGGCCATGTTGGAAGCCGTCAAGTGGGCGGGCGCACGCAAGCGCCTCTGCGTTTCGAAGGATGACGCCAAGCCCCGTTGATTCGGTAAACGTCACACTGGGGGCGGGGTTAGTAGCATAGTGTTTCTGGGTTTAGGGTGCTCTATTCCTGCTTAGACAGAAAAGAAGTTTTGGACAATGTTGAAAGTTGCAAGATTTTTTTCCCTTGTCTAAACACACGCAAAGATTTGTCCTAAATGGCACAGGTAGTTTCCAATTTCAATGGGTTATATTCACTGTTAGTCCAAATAGGATTAATGCTAAGTACAATACAATGGAGCATTGTTATAGTTACTCTCCTGGCCGGAAAGGAGAGCTTTGCGTAAAAATTAATGGAGAAATACAGGACTTTAGCATGGCTATGAGAAAATAAATAAAACATGTTTTATGGAGAATAAGGTTAAACTGAGTAACAGCAAGGACTCTTTCTAACTCTATACACTGATAAGATCACATGCCCCCATACTGAAGCTGACCTGGCCCTCGGATCAGCTATAAAGGCTCTGCTCATGTGCCACCAGCAACATCTATTAGAATGGTGGGCATGACAGATGGAGCCTTTTCTGTGGTGGCCCCATCCTTACAGATTTACCTTCCACAAGACCAATTTCCCTGTTTTTAAAGGGGCCTTTACAAACATAGATGTTCCAGTTTGCTTTCAACTAACTTCATGCCTATATTTATTTTATACACATGAGGCTTGTATTGCTGTTATTTTAAATATTTTAGACTGAAGTTTTAATCAATTATTTTTTATTTAAATGTAAATTTTACTTTAATTTTTTAAAGATTTTAAATAATTTAAAAAATAAACTCTTTGTTACTACCTTGGGCAGACATTTCATTTTCTGGAACTTTCCCTATGTGCATTACTTATATCTGTCCCTGTTCCCAATGACTTTCCCAATATGAACCCGGAATCCATCTATATATAGACAATCAGATGTCTTATTACATTTTTAACTCTACGTTTCACTTTTCTTCATGCTGCCCAATATGAATCGGCAGTGGGCGCTCCCTGCTATCCCATTCGTTTAGCCAGATGTCCGTCACAGTATATTAACATCCTATAAAATATAGATAAATTGTTGTTTCGTGTACGTTGTCCTTCATCACTCTCATCCAGTGCGTGTATCTAGATTCACCCCAGCTGCAGGATCTACCATTTTCACAAGCGTCGGTGCTATGAGAAGCTGTGGGACGCAAGTCGGGTGGGAGAGAGGGATAGGCAGTCTCCCTTAGTGATCCTACACGCTGGAACTAAGCCCCATCGAGTTTAGTGGGGTTGCTCTGTAAATGCGCTTGCACTAGGGTGGGGAAGTGAGGGGGCTGATAAGATTCGATTTTCCTTTGCAGCAAGTCCCTCGAAGTATGTTTTTATGAGGATTTTGCTGGAAATGGAAAGCAGCTAGGAAGAGAAAGTCGTGGTGAAGGGTAGTGTAAGTTTTGCTCCTGCAGAAATAGCCACCCTTCCGGTATTCCCTGAATCTCTTGGCGTGCTACAGAGGAAAATGCTCGAGTAGCTGGGGATGATGGTAGTTGTAGTCCTAAACCATCTGGGAGGCAGGAAGTATCTCTGGATTAGAAGAGATACCAGGGAGTTAAGGAAGGGCTTAATGCATATGTAGTGTGCTTTCTTTCTCTGTGGCTAGATGCTATATTTTTCTTTACCAACACCTGTGTTGGCCTAGCATCCATCTTCCCATCTCTCAGATACACTAGGGCATAATCTTTATATACCTCTCTTATACACATGTGGACATTCAGCACAACATCATGTGCCATTGCATTGCTAAAGGGATACATGGCTAGCTTTTATTGTTGCTCATAAGATCCAGGCAGCATGTCCACTGGTCCAGGGTTATGGGAACTGTAGGCTCTGCCCTCTGATGTGGAATGCATGCAACTTTAGAGGGAGGAGTTTCAAATGGGACTGAGAAGTTAGGTGGCTGAAGATGTCTTTGACTGTTAACTGGCCATACAGAGGCAATTCTGAGGATGACATTGCCAGCATTTGGATGGAAGTACTACCCATGCTCATTTTGCTTCAAGGAAAAGAACAGCTTGTAATGAGCATATTGTATTTCTGTTCCTTGCTGTCCTGAATCATCAACATAATTAACATGAATGCATGCAGGACACAGAGACCATGAAGCAACTGATAGAAAAGGAAACAGCTTTCTGTTGGCATCAGGTTGTTAATTTTCTGGAGATAGGAGCAGGGTCACATGCTGTTGGCTCAATGAAGCTGAAACAGCATCATCAACTAAATTTTCTTCGGAGGATGAGTTATTCTGAGAGAAGGTACATGATGAAAACATTCCAGAGGCTGGTATTTTTCCCAGCTGCAGAAAGCATTAAGTGTTCATAGGTACAAGCAAAGTAGCCTACGCTGAAGATATGTTATTATCTAATTTATGTTCTCAGGGCACTTTCTTGCTACATTTTTCATGTTTCTTCACCTAGCTGCAATTATGTTTGACACCTTTGTGCTGGTGACTTGTATATATTTGACTCAACTAGAATTAGTAAGTGGTGAAAAGCATTTGAAAGCCTGAAAGTAATTATCAAAACACATTCAAAGAGAATTGGTTTTATTGATTCCTTTTGTTCTGCTACTGCAGTGCTGTTTAAGCCTTTGTCTCAAGTTGCGATGCCATAATACCAAGGGAACATGTTGTGCACTCCACTGTGGATTTGCTTCACTTTTTGGATTGAGTCATCAGCTCTTCTATTTTAAGGTTCCTGTTGCAGGGATATTTAAACTCTCAGTTATTTGCACTATGTCAGTAAAAGATAATTGAACATCTATGGTTGTCTCTAAAACAAAACAATGACATAATAGCAAAACACGCAATTTCTAAATTCAAACTGTGTTGGCTGTTTTGAAAAGTTCCACTTTGCTTTTGTGTAATCCAGTCTTCACCAATCTAATAGCTGTTTTGTACTGCAGCTCTCATTCCAGCAAGTTTGGTCATGCAGGATGTGGATGATGGGAATTGTAGTCCATAACATTTTAGAGTGCCAAATTAGGGAAGGCTGATGTGACATACTGTAAGACATTTAAGATTAACAATACAATCTTACTCATGACTATGCTGACATACCATTATTATATCCAGTAAGAATTACTTTGTGGGAGATGTGTATAGTACTGCAACCTAAGTTGTCTTTTTATGCACATACCATCAGTGTGTGAACCTACCTTTTATATTATAGTAGTAGAAGGGGTTTGATAGGCTTGTAGGTGCAATATATTGTTTATTTATTTATTTAGGAAGCTTCTATGCTGCCCTATTTGCCAAAGCCTTGGGGCAGCTCACAATAGTAAATAAATAAAGACAATATAAAAACAAGACCTGGCCAATAAATAAATAAATTAACAATTAAAATAACGTTTGAATAGAAAGGTCTTCGCCTGGCGCCGAAAAACAAATAACAACGGTGCCAGGCAGACCTCTCTGGGGAGCGCATTCCATAGATTGGGCGCCACCGCAGAGAAAGCCCTCCTCCGAGTACTTACCCTCCTAATATCCTTCATGGAGGTTTCCCGGAGAAGGGCTTCTCCCGCTGATCTCAAGGGGCGGGCGGGCATATATGGACGTAGGCGCTCCTTCAAGTAACCAGGACCCAAGCCATTAAGGGCTTTATAGGTCATAACCAACACCTTGAATTGGGCCTGGACTTCAATGGGGAGCCAGTGAAGCTGACAGAGAACTGGAGTCATGTGAACATAACACCCAGTCCCCGTCAGCAGCCTGACAGCTCTATTTTGAACCAACTGAAGTATCCGGACTGTTTTCAAGGGCAGCCCCACATAGAGCGCATTACAGAAGTCAAGTCAGGAAGTCACCAACGCGTGTGTCACTGTCGCCAGGCAGTCGTTCTCCAGGTAGGGATGCAGCTGATGGATCAGCCGAAGCTGAAAGCGCTCCTTGCCACTGCTGAACCACCAGCATGGTTCTTAAGATCTTCCAGGTCCAGAGCAAATTTCTTCCAGACTGGTCTCACCACCATCACCTCTTTCAGATAGCATAAGACCAGTCCCTCTCATAGGGAGGCATTACTCACTGAAATCTTCCTTCATTACCACCACCTCCACCATGTACTTGATAGTTTAGTTATTGTCAGTGTGATGACGTGATATTTTCTGTACTTATTTGAAGATGTCCAATTTCATTATGCATGTTTTTCCTGTTCTATAAATCATGGAATAATAGAATAGTACAATTGGAAGGGGCCAGAGGGCCATCAGGCCCAACCCTCTACGCAGTGCATGTTAAACCATTCGTCTCAGATGGCTGTCCAGGTACATCTTGTATGCCTCTAGTATGGGAGAACCCACAACCTCCCTAGGTCATTCCATTGTCGTACTGTTCTAACAGTCAGGCAATTTTTCCTGATATCTAGTCAGAATTTGACTCCCTGAGGCTTCTCTTTTTTTTCTCTTGAGGCTAAGCATGCCCATTTCTTTCAATCCCTCCACACAGGGCTTCGTTTCCAGTCCCTGTAAGATCCTTGTTGCCCTCCACAAAACTTCTGAACCTTTTCTTGTTTGTTTGCATCTTTCTTACACTGTGGTGCCCAGAACTGGACACAGTATTTCAGGTGAGGCCTAACCAGTGCTGTGTAAAGGGGAACTAGTACTTCTATTAATACAGCCTAAAATAGCATTTACCCTTTTGCATCGTATTGTTGACTCATATTCAGCTTCAGATCTACAACACTTCCAAGATCCTTCTCACTAGCAGTATTGTTGAGCCAAGTATTCCCCAGCTTGTAGTGATGCATGTGGTTTCCTTTTCCTAGGTGCAGAACTTGGCAATTGTCCCTTACTGAACTTCATTCTGTTGTTTTCAGCCCAGCACTCCAACCTATCAAGATCGCCTTGAATTTTCTTTCAGTCTTCCAGGGTTTTAGCTATCCCAGCCAGTTTTGTGTCCAGTCAGTCTCAGTTCAGTTAGTAGATCACAGTCTGAGGATCTAGAATCCAAGTGCTAATTAAAGCAAAGGTATACACTGGGTATATGGTAGAAGGCTTCTCACTTCTTGTTACATTAAGGACAAAAGAGGCCCAGGTTTCCATCCTGTTTTGTAAAGGAAACTGAA